ACCTGGGGGAGAGGGTGGTGTCTGTTCAGTTCTGAACACCCCTCCCCCAGTAGTCACATCAGTGTCACTTGTCCGGAGGTCTAAAGGGGTTAAAGACAGATGATCCTGAGGAAGCCAAGGTGGTAGTCAGGAGTTGCCCTGGGGCCTGAAGGAAGAGATTAGTGACAGGAGGGCTGAGGAAAACTAACCGGTGTCCTGAGGCAGGCGGAACTGCCTCATTAAAACTGAAAGCCAGAGCCAGGCAACACTGGCACGTGCTTTAAACCCAGGACTCGGGAGGCAGAGGCAGTAGGATTGCTACAAGTCTGAGACCAGCCTGGTCTACACGACAAGTTCTAAGACACCCAGGTATCCATAGAAAACAAAACCAAACCTTGTAGACATCGTGGGAACCAATGATGGCGTCAAAGAGTGTATAGAGGTCATTAAGCAGGTCTACCACCTCAATGGGCTCACTCATGGCGGAAATGGTGGTGAAGCCCACAATGTCACTGAAGTACAGTGTCACCTCTTCAAAGTACTCGGGCTCCACAGATGTCCCCATCTTCAGGGCCTCAGCCACAGATCTAGGAATGGCAAGCAGCGGGGTCAGCTGGAGGCTACCCCGGTCTGGCCACCCTTTCCCCACACTCCTGTCCACAGAGGCAGCCAAGGAGGCAGCATCTGTGTGAGCAGCCTGTCAGTCTTCTGCTTCTCCTGCTCTAACTCCTCTGTGCGTTCTCGGATCAGGTCCTCCAGGTTACTGGAGTATTGTTCTAGCATCCGAAGCATGGAGTCAATGATGTTCATCTTCCGGCCCTTGTTGATGCTCTTGAACTAGGAGAGGAGAAAGCTTTTTAAAAAAAACAAAACAAAACAAAACAAAAAAACACCGAAGATGCTGGCTGCCATGGTGCTCTCCTGTGCTGCTCATGGGGCTATATATCTGAGCACCATTTACCTTCTACTCACGAAGCACCCCAGACTCCTGGCCACGAGGTTTGCAGATATTATTATGAGTTGTGTGAAAAATGAGGGTTCCCACAGATAGCTTCTCTGAGTTGGAATTGACAAGGCACTGAACTCAGGCTAAAGGTTTTCCTATCTCAATAAACCAAGTACATGTCTGGTTCTTATTCAATGTTATTTGATGTAAGTATTTCTTCTACCCAGAGTTCTCTTTCCCATTCCAAAGGCCTCCACAAGTCCTCATCTGCATTCTAGACCTTCCCTACCAAATTTGCAGTTCCTGGGTTAATCCTTAGGAAAGAGCCTAAAAGATCAAAGCTCCTGCCGGCCTGCTTGCCTGGGAACAGGACACTAACAAGAACCTGGGATCCCAGGGGCCAGCCCAGTCCTCGCCCAATCCCAGCTCCTGACCAGGTCAAAGGTGCGGTCCATAGAGGGACGAAGTTCTGGCTGCTCAGCCCAGCACTGTGTCATCAGCTGGATGCACTCCATGTGCCCCTGGTCCATTGACACCAAGGGCCGACACAGTGGAGGAGGGCTCTTTACCCTCTGGATCACTTCTGGAGGCAAGAAGAAACTGTGAGAAGTGGGCGACCCCAAATAAAACCCACCTCTGTTGTTAGCCTAAGATGGGGCACTGAAAGAGGTCTCATGAGCCCAAACTGGTCTCCAGCTTACAATATAGCTGAAGATGACCCCGGAACTTTTAACCCTTCCACTTCCCAAGCAAGTGCTGGGACCACAGACTTGCGCTACTTTGCCCAGATATTGAGGTGCTAGGAATTGAACTCAGGGCTTTGTGTACACTAGGCAATTAAGTACTCTACCAACCATCCAGAGAGGATTGTTTCTTTGTTTGTTTGTTTGTTTGTTTTGAGACAGGGTTTCTCTATGTAGCCTTGGCTGTCCTGGAACTTACTCTACAGACCAGGCTGGCCTCAAACTCACAGAGATCCGCCTGTGTCCCGAGTGCTGGGATTAAAGGTGTGCGCCACCACTGCCTGGCTAGGAGTTTTAAAATTAACACTTCCAAGCCTTAGGAGATGGCTCAGTCAGTAAGTGCCTGGCATGCAAGCCAGAAGACCTGAGCTTGGGTCTCCAGCAGCCACATTAAAATAATTAATGGCTGTGTGATGGAAGAGCAGGGTGGGTCCAGGGTCGGGACAGAAGCTGTTAAGATCTGT